TGCACCGAATTGTGAAAGTACTATTGTGGGCATGGAAAACGACTTGGTGAAAATCAAAGATCAGCTGACTGGATCGTCGTGTAATCTGGAAATCACCACGATTGTGGGGATGGGAGGGATAGGTAAATCCACACTGGCTAAAATGCTGTACGACGACCCACTGATAGTGTACCACTTCTATGTTCGTGCATGGATTACTGTTTCCCAAGATTATCGAGTGAAAACAATGTTGCTAGGCCTTATTCGTTTTGTTGCTCAGCTGACGGATGATGTATGCGCAAAGTACGATGAGCCTGACGAGCAGAATCGTGTAGTCTTGAAAGATGGTATCAACCAGCTGAGTGATCAAAGTTTAGCCGAGCAACTGTACCGGAGCTTAAAGGGTAAGCGGTATCTTATCGTAATGGACGATGTTTGGTGTAATGACGCGTGGGATGATGTCAGGCGCTCGTTTCCGGACGACAAGAATGGAAGCCGTATTATTCTGACCAGCCGCCTTATGGAAGTGGCTCTTCGTGTTAATGCCAAGAGTGCCCCACATCATATGCAGTTTCTGAGTGTAGATGAAGGGTGGGAGCTGCTAAAGTCGAAGGTCTTCTCGAAAAGACAAGGCTGTGCTTCTGAAGAACTGGAGGAAATCGGGAGGCGAATAGTGGACAAGTGTCGAGGCCTCCCCCTAGCAATCGTGGTTATCGCAGGCCACCTGTCGAAAACGGACAAGAACGTAGACGTTTGGACAAGGGTTGCAGACAATGTAGGCTCGCTTGTGGCGAAAAACCAAGAGCAATTCTCGAACATTATAGCTATGAGTTACAACCACTTACCTCACCATTTAAAAGCTTGTTTCCTCTACATGGGAGCTTTCCCCGAAAATATTGATGTCCCCATGTGGAGAATTATAGCGTTGTGGATTGCGGAGGGGTTTTTGAAGCGAGAAACGACGAAAATCTTGGAAAAGGTGGCTGAGGAGTATTTGGAGGACCTCATCGACAGAAGTTTAATTTTGGCCGAAAAGAGGATTAATGGCAGAGTCTCGACATGTCGAATCCATGATCTTGTTCGTGAATTTTGCTTGAGACAAGCCGAGAAAGAAAACTTTTGGTATGTTATGAGGAGGCGGGACCTACTTTCTCCCGAAGGCCTACAGAACCACCGCCGCCTATGTGTCCACTCGGACATATTTCCGTATGCCGTCTCCGAATATTCGAATCCGCAAGTTCGTACCTTACTATCATCAAATTCTTCGACCGGGCTGTCCTTTTTGCCGGATTCTGTGCTCTCTTGTTTGGGTTTTAAACTGCTCAGGATATTGGATTTGATCAGCTACTATTTCAGCGATTTTCCGATTCAAGTACTGAAACTGTTTCATCTGAGGTATCTTGCCCTCTCAACGAGCGGTGAGCTTCCTACAAAAGCATCTAAACTCGGAAGAGATTTTGGGAAATGGTGCAATATCCCATTCTCGAAAAGAACAACCAATCCTCCTATATCGATATCCAATCTCGTGAATCTAGAGATCTTGATCGTTCATTGGGGGATGCGGGAAAGCCACAATCTACCGTTGGATATCCAGATGATGACACAGTTGAGGCACATCCATTTGAAGGGTGCAGTTGTTTATTTTGACGATCTCTTCCTAATGGAGACGAAAAACCCGTTGGTATTATCGAATCTACAAACTCTTCTGACCGTGAGCTCGGCAAATTTCAGCCAAAAAAAAATGTTCCCTATGGCTATCGTCCCCAACCTTAAGAAGTTGGGAATTATAGTATCAGACAAGAACCATGATTTTTTTCTCAACGACCTCTCCTCTCTACACTGTCTCGAAACATTGAAGTTGACTTTTGTTGACTCGCGGAACGAGAATTCTTCGGCAGTATCGAGGTGGGATGCCTTCCCGCCGAAGCTCAGGGCATTGACTTTATGTGGTGGCCACCTGCCGTGGGAAGATATGGTCAACATTGGTAAAATACCCGAGCTGGAGGTGCTCAAGGTGAAAGACCGTGCCTTTGCGGGGAGAATATGGGAAACGGCCGACGAAGGGTTTCTCGGGCTTAAGTTTTTGTTGCTGGAGAAGAGTGAGATCGAGATTTGGGAAGCGACGAGCGATCACTTCCCTCGTCTTCAACATTTGGTTTTGAGGCTGTGTGGTTGCTTAGAAGAGATCCCTTTCGGTGTGGGAGGGATACCTACACTGCAAATGATTGAGATTTATTCCTGTGCGCATTCGGTTGTTTCGTCAGCTAAAAGAATCCAAGAGGAACAACAAAGCTATGGCAACGATGATCTTGAAGTTCGAATCAACTTGGTGAGTTTATATATTGTAATGCTTACTGTTTGTCCTTTTTTAAGATCATGTTCATTGTTAATCTTGTGTGTGAAGGGTAGTTTTGGGTTTTCTTGATGAAAATCGAAAGCTGGAATTCCGATTTCCGCCGATTGCAATCTGGATTTTCTTGATTTTGGAACGCTATTTTATATTCCTAATCAAAAACTTCTGATTCCAATTTTTTGGGGTCGGAATTGGAATATGTATATGAGATTTCAATTTCCAATCCGATTTTAATTTCCGAAATTCCGAATCCCAGAGCG